ACCTGTCACAAAAAAAGACAAAAAAAAAAAAAATTCGATGTAATCAAATATAAAATTTGCTTTAAAATGTACTGTTTCATTATGTAAAATATAATGCTGTGTGAAAAATGGGAAGGTTTTAATAATGTCATCAGGCATGTGATTATTTTCTCTGGTTATTAATTTTAAAACTGGTTGCAATATTGTGCTAAGAGTAGAGTAACAGATGGGGATTTCCCTACAGAGAAATGCTAGCTTCTCTATGCAATAAGATTTATTTGCCTCATCAAGAAAATATATGGTAGGTCAGAAAATACAATCCTTTAGGGCTTCTTAGTCATTAAAAAAAAAAAAAAAAAAAAACTTATGAAGTTTTCTGCTAGTAAAAATTACAAATAGTTTCTTTTTCCAAATTTTTTAGGGAAGAGTAAAGTCTGTGAGTTGGAACATAGGAAACAAACAGAAAAATTCCTTAAAATATTGAAGAAGCTTCTGGGGTATTTCTGTAGTGAAAAAAAAAATGAAATAAAATCAAGTTATCATCAGGAGTGCTGTCTACTTACTTCATTGTTCCTTTAAAGAATATGATTACTCCTTAAAATTCTAAGTAAAAAATATTGTTCTTACAGGCTTAATTTCTAAGAGTGGACATGTAACAAATTATGATACACATGCTTTCAAATATGAAATTAGTGTGTATTTCAGTTTCCTCTCTTATAAAAAATTACAGAAAAACCCAAACTGCTGATCTCAATGAAGACCTTACTTTTCAAATAGCATGAGGAATACAGTTTTATTTTTTTCACTTTAAAAATTTACATGGAGGGCCAGCCCGGTGGTGCACTGGAGAAGTGCGCCTGTTGGGAGTGCGATGGCGCTCCCGCCGAGGGTTCGGATCCCATGTGGAGACCGGTTCCCGCTCACTGGCTGAGTGCGGTGCGGACGCAACACCGAGGGTTGCGGTCCCGTTGCCGGTCCCCTGTGCGGGCACAACACGGAGGGTTGCGATCCCATTACCGGTCAGTAAAAAAGACAAAAAAAAAAAAAAATTTACATGGAGAATGAAAAAAGACAAAAAAAAAAAAAAAATTTACATGGAGAATGAAAAAAGAAAAAAAAAAAAAAAAAAAAAAAAAAAAAAAATTACATGGAGAAAATGCCAAATGCACATAATAAATTGGTTTGATACTAAAGGTCATATTTACAATTCACATTGTGACAGAATGAGCTTAATTAAAATATCATAAAAATCTCATTGACAATTTTAGTTCACTTTAGTGGCTTTGACCTTAGGCTAGCCTCAGGCACCTTTCTAGCTTCTTGCATTATGAGACTATGCATACCCAACTTAGTTCAGCATTGCATATGGTTTATTTCAGAAATGCTATTCTCTGTGGTGTTAAAGGACACAAGTTACCAAATTACCTGAGTGTTGATCAGCTTCACCTCCTCTCTAATCATGTACCGATCACAAAACTGATGTTTCACCATAAAGATGTTAAGTGTCTATATACAGATGAGTTCATGAATTCAGTAAAGGATACAGGTCTGTTATTTTGTCGCCTGGCTTTATACCTTAAAAAGTGATTTATAGAACTATAAAAAAAATTAGATAGTTTAAAAAAAAATCTCTCATTTTCCATTACATACATGTAAACACACATCAGAGATCAGCAAATACTTTATTTAAAAGTACAAATAGTACATGGTTTAAATCTGTAGGCTATAAAGTCATCGTTACAACTACATAACTCTGTCTTTGCAAACAAAACAAAACAAAACAAAACAAACAATGAGCAAAACCCCAGCCATAAATGATAAGTACATAAATGGGCATGGCTGTGTTTTATTAACACTGTATTTACAAAAACAGGCAACTGGCCTATGGGCCATAGTTTGCCAGTCTTCTAAGTTACATAGCCAGTGTATTAGTCAGCTAAGTCTGCCACAGGAAAATACCACAGATTAGAGGCTTAAACCAAAGAAATCTATTTTCTCACCATTCTGGAGGCCAGAAATTTAAGATCAAAGTGCCATCAGGGTTTCTTTCTTTGACTCTCTTCCTGGCTTGCAGTCTGTTGTCTTCTCTCTAAGTCTCACACAGAGCTCTCTTGTGTGTCTTCCTATTTTTCTAATGACAACAGTCCCAATGAATTAAATTTCCACCCTTATCATCTCATTTAACCATATTAACCCTAATTCCAAATATAGTCACATTGAGGGTTAGGGTTTTAAGATATGCATTTTGGGGGGACACAATTCAGTATGTAACAGTCAGATACAAAATTCATTTACAGAAAACAGTATCTGTAATTAGATAAAATAGAACCCTGGTTAAATCCAACTCTGCCAATCCCATGCCAGGCCTGACACAGATATTCATAGCTGGCAAACAAACAAACAAACAAACAAGAAACACAGCACACACAATCATGTAGACACATTTCTAATTTGTACTCAATACTCTTAAATGATCTTTTGTGGTGCCCAGTACTCTTACTCTATTTTCTTAAACCATTAATTATCTCATTGCTTCATATTGTCTCCTTTCTTAAAACTCTGAAACTCCTCCCATTTTCAACTTCGGCTGACAACCTTGCTTCCTAATTTATAGCTAAATTAATTACTAAGAGGCATCCATCTCCATCTGTGGTTATATATTTTCCTACCCTTTCTTCTTGCTATTTTGGATTGCAGCTCTGAGGTCCTAGATGGACCAACCTCTGCAAATATTTACTAGATTTCATATTCTCTTACTTTCCTCCCAAGAAATTCTCCCATTTCTCTCTATATCTTATGTTTTTTTCTCTCTAGATTGAATTATTTTCATTAGTGCATAAAGATTAAAATCTCTTTTGTCTCTACTTCCCTTTCCAATCACTCCCTAGTTTCTGTCACTTATATTTGGAAAGATTGTCTCACTTGTCTTCAATTTTTTAAAATTATATTGTATCCTCAACATTTACCCACACTGCTCTGATCAAGGTCACCAGTTACCTACACTTTACTAAATACAATGGTAATTGCTCTTTTGTTATCCTTCTTGAACTATCAGCAAGAAATTGGAATAACCAATTACTTTTCTTTGTAAATAATGCATTTTTTGACATTCTACACAGCTTATTTTCTATCTACATTTGTGATTTCCTTTTTTGGTGATCTTTCTGCTTCCTCTTCATTTTTCCTAGTTGTAAATGTTTGCATTACCTTAGGGATCAGCTCATTGATCATTTTTCAATCTATACTCCCTTTTTAGTTTATCTTACATGGTCCCCTAGTTTTATACATCATCCAGGTGCTGAAAACTCTGACCCAGTCTTCTCCTCTGACCTTCTGATCTGTATGTATAACTACCTGCCTGACATTTCTCTTTGGATTCACAGTAGGAATCTCAAACATAGCAAGCCCAAATCTGAGCTCCTGTTATTTCTCTCAAACCCTGCAGTCCTCATCATCACAACTAGTGGTAACATCGTTCTTCTAATTGCACACACATACACCTCGGTTTTACCCTTGACTCTTCTCTTTTTTTCACTTCTTATAACTGGTCTGTTAGGAAATTTTGGTCTTCACCTTTAAATTATATACAGGACTTGACTACTTCCCACCAGCCTCACTAGTATTATCCTGATGTAAACCATCACGTTCTCCTATAAAGAGTATTTCATCACCGTATAAGTGTTTTCTCTGTTTCTTTCCTTGCTACCTTAAATCTATTCTCAACACAACATCCAGATTGATCTTCTCAAAACATGCATTATTTCTTGCTACTCCTCTGCTCAAAGCACTCTAATGGTTTCCCACATGATCACCACTCTGATTACTTCTGCGACTACAACATTATACTTCAGCTCACTCTGTTCTAGCCACATGGGTTTATTTTAGTGTTCTTCAAACCTTTCAGTAATAGGGTAGCCTCATACTTACTCTTTATTCTGCTTAGAATAGTCTTCCTTTGACATCTAGATGGCAACCTCTTTCATTTAATCAGTTTGTTTAGCAAAGCTCTCATTCTCAGTCAACCATTTCCAGTCCTGATTATATAAAACTGCATCCCCCAAAGATGTTTATTTTGTTTATGGTGTACGTTGCTCTGCTGTGCCAAATGTTGTCTGAGTGAAGACATGTCCACCTTCTTTGTTCCCTGGCTTATCTCTAGTGTCAAAAATGGTCCCAGAAACATAATACATTCCCAATAAATATTTGTTGAATAAATGAATGAATGAATTAATATATAGTATATCAGAAAATGTATAATAGATGTCATTTTTAATAACAAGAACATTATTAAATGTCTAAAAGTAATATTTACATGTATGAAAGATCTTTATGAAGAAATTTTAAAACACAGTTAATGCCATAGAAGAAAACTTAAATTAATTTTAAAAATACCCTGTTCTGAAATTTCAATATCGAAAATGATTTCAACTTTCTCTAAGACAATATGCAAAGGCTAATATGATCCCACTAAAACTCTGAGGAAGTTTTATATTTGGAACTACAGAAACTCATTTTAACACTAATGAGGAAAATAATACAACAAAAGGAATGGCCAATGACTTAAAAAATAGTAATACAGATGTGTGAGCCCTCAATGACATTAAACTTTGTTTTACAATTTGGGATATTATTGTTACAGAACATGAAGAGAGAAAAGACAAATCAATGGAACAAGATAAACTTTTAAATAGAATCATACATATATTATATATGATATATATGATATATACATACACCACATTTTCAGAATCAAGCACAGCCCCTGCAGGAGGAAGCAACATTCAACTTTCTCGTGGGACCTTCCTTTCTGGCAGGGAGACACTTAAGACACAGTCTAGCTGCTCTTGCATGCCCCACGTGGCTTAGTCTCAGCCCCTACCACACTTTTTCTTGCATGAGACATAGGGGCAGTAAGCAGGACATTGGGTCATCCCTGATTCCAGGAAATGGACTCAGTGACCTTTGAGGATGTGGCTGTGAACTTTACTCTGGAGTAGTGGGCTATTCTGCATCCTTCCTAGATGAATCTCCACAGAGATGTCATGTGGCTAACCTTCCAGAAACTGGCCTGTATAGAAAAGAAAATGGGAAGACTAGAACATTGAAGATCGGTGCAAAAATTCCAGGAAAAATGTAAGGAGTTAGGCGGTAGAGAGTCTGTGAAAGTGAAGAAGGCTATCAATGGGAGAAACCTTCAGCCAGTTTCTGGATTGTCATCTGAACAAGAAAACTCCCCTGGAGTGAAACTGAGTGAAAACAGTATGTTTGGAAAAGTCTTTATGTGTCATTGACCCCTTCATAGGCACATCTGTGCCCACACTAGTCAAAAATCATATGAATATCATGAACATGGAGAGAATCTATGCAAATGTAAGGAATGTGAGAAAACCTTCATTTATTGTCATTCTCTTCAAATTCACGGAAGGTCTCACCCTGGAGAGACGCCCTATGAATGTAAACAAAGTTGTAAGGCCTTCAGATGTTGTAGTTTGTTAGGAGAATGTAAGGAAGGTAAGCAATGTGGGAAAGTCTTCAGTTGTTCCAGTTCTGTTTGAACACATGAACGAACTCACACTGGATAGACACCCTATGAATGTAAAGAATGTGGGAAAGCATTCATTTGTCTCAAAAACATTCAAAGATACCTCATAGCACACCCTATAGATGGTCCTTATAAAAGTAAGGTGTCTGTGAAAGTCTTTAGTTGTTTTAGTTCATTTTCAATACATGAAGGAACTCACACCAGACAGAAACACTATCAATGTAAATTTGGGAAAGCCTTCCACCATTTAACTTCCTTTCAAGGACATGAAAGAACTCACATTGGAGAGAAACACTAAATAAAGAATGTGGGAAAGCTTTCATTATCAGACAACTTTAATAGCACACATGAGAATGCATAGTGGAGAGAACCTATAGAAATATTAAGCATGTGCAAAAGTTTTTAGTTGTGATAGTGGAGTTCAAAGCCATAAAAGAACACACAGGAGAGAAACCTCTTGAATATAAGCAAGATACAAAAATTTTCAGTTGGCCCATATGGAAAAATGAACACTGGATCAAAACCCTGTAAATGTGAAAATGCTTGGAAGTTTTTAGTTTTAACAAATGGTGCAGCCTTTATGGAAAATGGCGTGGAGGTTTCTCAAACAATTACAGATAGATCTACCATATGACCCAGGAATTTCACTGCTGGGAATATATCCAAAGGAATGGAAATCATCATGTCAAAGTGATACCTGTTCTCCTATGTTTATTGCAGCACTATTTACAATAGCCAAGAGTTGGAACCAGCCCAAATGTCCATCATTAGATAAGTGAATATGGAAACTGTGGTATATCTACACAATAGTAATACTACTCTGCTATAAAAAAAGAATGAAATACTACTATTTGCAGCAACATGGATGGACTTAGAAAAAAATATATTAAGTGAAATAAGTCAAGCACAGAAAGAGAAATACCACATGTTCTCACTTATTGTAGGAGCTAAAAATAAATAACTAAATAAATATACAAACAAATGAGGGGGGGCAGGGAAGAAGACACAACAATCACAACAATTCCTTGAACTTTTTAAGACAAGTGAACAGATATGATGTTGATGGTGTGGAGGGGGAAACAGGAGAGGGGAAAGAGGAATTGGTAAAGAGACATAAAAATGAACTACATTGTATATTGATAAATAAAAATAAAAACAAACAAACAAACAAAAACAATTTTAATGTCTAGTGAGGACTCAATGTAGAGAAATTTTATAAATTTAAATAATATGAAGAGCCTAATGCAAAGCAATACATGTACAATACTCCAGATAATGTACAACCTGAAGGTAGTGTTCTAAAAGTTATAAACATATTGTGTTTATTAGTGGCTCCTTCTTAAGATAGATGCCTGTACTATGGATTTCTAACTTTTACTCATCAAAATAAACATTGAGCTGTGAGGGGACCAAAAAAAAAAAAAAAAGAACATTTTCAGCGTATAACAAAGATGGCATTTTAATTTAGTGTAAAATTTATTTTACAATTTCCCAAGCCCTACTAACATGTAATTTGTACATCACAGCAGGTCTGTGCACTGTTTCCTGTTGGTCTATAATGAGATAAGTAACATGTGACTAAGCAGACTGCTTATTTCTATTAATTTAGTTTTCTCACAGCAAGACTCTCAATGAAAATACAAGGCATCACACTATGTTCTGGTGCAATGTCCTTAATTTGTTGCAGATCTACAGGAAAGAGTACATCAGTTTGTTGCTTTGAATAGCAGTGCTCTGGAAAACTTATTTCATTCTGCTTTGTGCTGGAGTATATTTTTATATATGGTCATGTACCACATAATGTCATTTTGGTCATCAAAGGACTGCATTTATGATGATAGAGTAATAGGTTTTGCCATATAGCCTAGGTGTGTAGTGGACATACTGTCAAGGTTTGTGTAAGTCACTGTATGGTGTTTGCACAATGACAAAATCACCTAAGATGCTTTCTCACAACATACCCCTGTGATATGACTGTATTTTAACAGTTTTATTGAGGTATAATTGGCATACAAAAAATTGCACACATTCAAAACGTAAAATTTAAGATTTGACATATGTTCACCCTTACAAAGTCATCATCTCAATCAAGCTTATGAACATATCCATCACCCTCCAAATTTTTCTCACACCTCTTTATTATATCCCCCTCCAATCCCTGCATCTCCATACAACCATTAATCTTCTTTCTGATTAGTTTGCATTTCTGAGAAATGTATATCAATAGAATTTTACAGTATGCTCATTTTTTTTCCTTCTTTTTCTGGTTTCTTTCACCCAGCATAATTACTTTCACATACACCAATGCTATTAGGATTTATCCAATATTTTGTTCCCTTTTATTGCTGAATAGCATCCCATTTCATGGGTATCCTGGAGGTTCTTTATCCATTTATCTGTTGGAGAACATCTGGCTTATTTCCAGCTTTTGATAATTACAAATAAGGATGCTATGAATGCTCATGTATGTCTTTAAATGTACATCTAGTGGAAATGTAACATGATATGAGATTTTGTAAAAGACCCAGTCATTTCTTTAAAAAGTCAAATGCATGCCTAAATATGATTTGACTGTTAGGTATTTATTCCCATGAAAAATAAAACCATGTGTCCATGCATATCACTTTTGATTCATCTATACTAATTTCAGTTATTTTACTTATACAAAGGTACTCACAAATGTGAAAAATAATATACATATAAATATGTACATTACAGCACTATAATTAACAGCAGAAGGTTGGAAACTACCTAGGTATCTATCAGTAGGGAGTAAGCTAATTTGGGGTATATTCGTATAAGAAAACATTATGCATCCACATTGATTATCTAAAATAATTTTATGTACAGACATGAACTCCAAGATATGTGAAAGTTGCAGTACAACATGTTAAAGAAGTATGAATAATATAATAAAATAATTTTCAAAGATAAAAAGGGTTTTGTTAAACAGCAAAATTGTTTTTCATCACATTGATAAACCACATTTACCTAGAGAGCTCACTTTTATGGCTTTCCTGCATAACTTTTTCATGAAACAATTTCATAATAAAGGAATAATTTTGACACTTTAACAGCAAATCTATAAGAATTAAGGTATAAAATTACACATGTGTATATATATACATATATAAGGTTAAATGGATGAATAGTGATATATTTCTTCATTTATTCATTTTACAATATCCCTTCTGGTAAAAAAATGATGATGGACGTTCATTAGCACTTCTATTTATTTTGTAATTAAAAGGAACATTAACCAAGAATAATCAGATCTTTATTACTCTAGAAAGGATCAGAGCTAATAATTTCAAAGAGGAAAATATTCTTACAATATAGACTTTTTAAAATTTTAAGTAAGATGGCTTTGTATTTTTTGAGAAGTGATGCTTTTTTAATTTCAAAACACTATAATGTACATCTGTGACATTTTCTAAGAAGTTCTAATTCTAAGGCAATGTTAGAAAAGAATTCACTGAATGTAATATATTAACAGCTGTAAGATTTTGGAGTACAATTTTAACTTCTATTTTACCTTGTATGAGAAATAATTGATGGAGAATTTGTTAATTTTGCCAATTCTAAGATATATTTTAAATGTTATATTCTCAATTAAAACTGAAAGCAATGTTACTTATTATTTGCTTAAGAAATTGAAAATAGCATGTCTCCAAATAGTTTGTGGGAGAGATGTGGTAGCCTATACACCAAGACTTAGTGTGAAATCGTAGCTTCATGATGGACTCTAAAAATCAGCGATTCAATGTCATGCTGATAAACTGAGATGGAAGTAACAGAAATCTGCTAAATTACAGCACCATTAACCATAGCACCTGTTTTACTTTCTGAAAGATCTCTTTTTAGCAAATAACTCTCCACATTTTCCCTAACATTTAGAATGATGAAATAAGTAACAACTAAATTGTATAACTCTGAATAGGGCAATTTTGGTGTTGATTTTTAGCATTTTATAATATCAAGAACCATCTATCGATTAGTTATTTCTTGCTAGACCATTATGCAGCAGGTCAGTGTCATTAGTTCCAACTTATTAATAATGTCCTTTGGGCCTAAAATGGTAAAATGTGTTTAATAAATCTATCAGGGAATTAGCCAAGATCTCAGGTTTAGGACTCAGATAACCAGCTCACAGCCTTAGTTTGGCTAAGTCCATTAAACACTCACACTTGCTAGGTCAAGCAAATTATACTTTCACATCAGCAAAAATTAGTTCTAATAGAAGGAAAAATAATCTCTGAAAATAGATTTGCTGAACTAATCCATTTTCACACATTATAGACTTGCCAACTCAGACAAAACACAACATTTGAAGATGCATGTATATGGGAACATAAACCACTATCCATCACCAATATTTATTAGATTTTTATATTGACTATGGATTACTAATAGTTTAATATGCCAAATGTGAACTTTTAAGATGTTTGTTTTAAATAGTTTTGTTTATTTGAGAGCGTCAATAAACAACCTTTAACTTGAAATGCAAAGAAAACACAGGAATCAGCATAACAAGGTAGTTATGATAGAAAAACATCTGACAGAACGGACTGAAAACAATGAAATGCATGGAGAATGCATTGTGCTCAAAATAAGTCTAAAGGAGAGGAATTTTCAAATAAATTATATGTGAAGAAGTAAGAATGTATCAGAAAGACATAGAGTAAAAGAGAAATGTAGCCCAAAAAAATCTCATAGAAAATGCAGCTATAAGTCTAGAGATGATAACTACTGAAAACAAAGCAACTTTCAGAGAGATCTGCAATATTCTTATAAAATGCATTTATAAATGTTACAAAAAAGATGACCAATAAAGATAATGGAGCTTAGATATTATGTTTATAATATAAGCAACCATTTATGTTTGCAAACTATGATAAATAACAAAGTAATGGACTCAGTTAAAAGTAATTATCTTTAATACACCATTTCTTATGATACATAGATTAAAATTAATCGTATAATATTTAAGTGTTTTTAAAATCTGATTATAATTTCATGCAGTGTTTATATTAATATATTAGAAGGAAAATACTAATTCTGAAAACACAAGGAGTTCTTGATCATATCAGAAAAATCTGAAATTTGATGAACTAATTGTCTTTTGTGGTTACTACTAAGTAGAATAGCATAATGCATACTTTTTGGATAGAGAAGCTTTTTTTTTTTTTTTTTTTTTTTTTTTTAATAAGATGAGAAACAAAGAAGAAAGACCATGATAAAATGTTGAACCTTCAGAGGGAGAGAACAGACCTATAGTTCTAGAGGTCAGAAATGGGG